CATTAATTCTCCTGATGGAAGAATTTACTTCCGACGCCGCCGCCCTACCGCTCTTGCCTTATCTTCCTTTCTTGAAGACGGACCTGCCTTTAACTTCCGATCACTTATTGACTTTCTGTCAGCATCTGCTTTACTATACAAACTTTGACGCATAGCCCCTAGCGTCCCTCCCAGCCCATATCTCCCCTCACCTCTGATTCCCTCTCCACCTAGCTGTTTATAGCCCCGGCACTATTTTCTGTCCCACAGCGTTACATGACCCTTGTCGGTTAGTGCTTTATTATTAATAATAATTCTCCCTCTTTCACCTTCTAAATTCGGGATCGATATAGCAAAACTACGATCAATTTTACGTCTTTCAAGAAAATACAGTGATGAGTTCCGTAATGTCTTCCTTCTTTGTATACTGTTTCCCATGAAGGAAAGTGCCTTGATGAAGGTCATGGGCTCTTGATTCAAGGAAATGGACCTATTCTACAATGCTTTGGCTCGCCTTGTTTAACCTACCATGATTTTTGTCTCCCCTGTGATTATAATATTAAAAAAATTATCTTTTTCACTGCAACAGTTAATTTGTTTCTGGTAAATGTTATTACTTGACACACTTGCTTGTTATGACTGTCACTGTGGAGGAATTTATATTCTGCCAGTGTAGATAGGTTTATATAATGTCAGTGTGGAAGAGTTGATATCCTGTCAGTGTGACTTTGTAAATGGTTCAAGTCGGACCGAAACGTCGTCGTAAGCCCCTCTCTCCTATGTACGGGTTATTTGTGTAGTATGGACGAGATTGTATCCTGTCAGTGTAGAAGGGTTTATATAGTGTCAGTGTGAAATAGTTTATATCCTGTCAGTGTGGAACAATTCATATCCTGTCAGTGTGGAACAGTTCATATCCTGTCAATGTGGAACGGTTTTTATTCTGACAATGTGGAACAGATTATTTACTGTCAGTATGGAACCGTTCATATCCTGTCAATGCGGAACTGTTTTTATTGTGTATTCTGGCCACACAACCAGAACAGATTACTGTTACAACAGTAACAATCATGTTTCCTCCTCAAGCAACTTGATTTATATCTAATTCTGAACATCACAATGGTATACAATACCGACAGGTTGTTAGGTAAGACACATATGCAACAGTTAGACAACTTTATTCCGAAACGTTTCGCCTACACAGTAGGCTTCTTCAGTCGAATACAGAAAGTAGGCAGGAACAGTAGAGATGTGAAGACGATGTAATCAGATCTCTACTGTTCCTGCCTACTTTCTGTATTCGACTGAAGAAGCCTACTGTGTAGGCGAAACGTTTCGGAATAAAGTTGTCTAACTGTTGCATATGTGTCTTACCTAACATATCTAATTCTATTTGATACAACAACTAAATACTTCTTAAATAAATGTTTGATCTGTTATTTCTCTTCTGCCCCCCTTTCATATTTCTCATCTACCCCATTTATTCCTCTCCTATTTCCTTTATCTCTCCTCTACTCCTTTTATCTCTCATCTACTCCTTTTATCTCTTCCCTACTCCCTTTATCGCTCAACTACTTATTTTATACCACTTATATTTATTTTATATATCCCCTACTAATTAATTTATTATCCAACTCCTTTCATACCTCTTCTACCTCTTTTATCTTTACTCATTTTCTCTCACTTCTACTCCTGTCTCTTCTCTATCCCCCTTATCGGTTTTCTCAGTTTTTCTTGCTTACATTTGCCCTCACACTCGCCCCTGACACATTGTAACACACTTACTGTTGTTTTACCACACACTTTAATTAACGCAATACCTGACTTCCTCTCTTCCACAGCTCTCTGAGCTGTGTCCTCTCTTCCACAGCTCTCTGAGCTGTGTCCTCTCTTCCACAGCTCTCTGAGCTGTGTCCTCTCTTCCACAGCTCTCTGAGCTGTGTCCTCTCTTCCACAGCTCTCTGAGCTGTGTCCTCTCTTTCACAGCTCTCTGAGCTGTGTCCTCTCTTTCCACAGCTCTCTGAGCTGTGTCCTCTCTTCCACAGCTCTCTGAGCTGTGTCCTCTCTTTCACAGCTCTCTGAGCTGTGTCCTCTCTTCCACAGCTCTCTGAGCTGTGTCCTCTCTTCCACAGCTCTCTGAGCTGTGTCCTCTCTTCCACAGCTCTCTGAGCTGTGTTCTCTCTTCCACAGCTCTCTGAGCTGTGTTCTCTCTTCCACAGCTCTCTGAGCTGTGTCCTCTCTTCCACAGCTCTCTGAGCTGTGTCCTCTCTTCCACAGCTCTCTGAGCTGTGTCCTCTCTTCCACAGCTCTCTGAGCTGTGTTCTCTCTTCCACAGCTCTCTGAGCTGTGTCCTCTCTTCCACAGCTCTCTGAGCTGTGTCCTCTCTTCCACAGCTCTCTGAGCTGTGTCCTCTCTTCCACAGCTCTCTGAGCTGTGTTCTCTCTTCCACAGCTCTCTGAGCTGTGTCCTCTCTTCCACAGCTCTCTGAGCTGTGTCCTCTCTTCCACAGCTCTCTGAGCTGTGTTCTCTCTTCCACAGCTCTCTGAGCTGTGTCCTCTCTTCCACAGCTCTCTGAGCTGTGTCCTCTCTTCCACAGCTCTCTGAGCTGTGTTCTCTCTTCCACAGCTCTCTGAGCTGTGTCCTCTCTTCCACAGCTCTCTGAGCTGTGTTCTCTCTTCCACAGCTCTCTGAGCTGTGTCCTCTCTTCCACAGCTCTCTGAGCTGTGTCCTCTCTTCCACAGCTCTCAGAACTTTTTCCTTTCTTCCATATCTCTCAGAAGCTTCCTTTTTCTTTCATATCTCTCAGGAGAGACCATGAGGTACACACTGGTGGTTTCCGCTCTGTTGGCGGCAGTAGTAACAGAAGTCATCCATGACAACAGGGAATTTCTGAGGAACTTCCAGAATCAGCAGCAACCCCCAAATCAGCTGTGATGTATCACCCGCAGAAACTGAGCCCAAGCAGGGGCTTATAACCGAAAGCCTTTTCCTAAAACAGGGGGATGCCACCCGGGAATCAACCGAAAAGGACAAAAAGCACAGCTTCGAAACGGGCCCGAAAACCCGCAACAGGGGCAGTTATATAAGCCGCAACGGCACAAGCAACCACACCCGCCCGCACCGGGCCACCCGGGAAACCGCACCCGAAAAACCGCGCAATCAATCCACCCCAAACAAGGCGGGGGACAAAAAGGGGAATTTTTGGGGCAGTGCTATGGTGGCTCCAGGGGCGGGTACAACTATCTCACCGGGTCATATAAACCTCCCTTATTTTTAATTATTATTTTTTTTATTATTTTTAATTATTTTTATTATTTTTATTATTATCACATCACCATCTTCATCACATCACACCCTCATCTTTTATCATCATCATTTTATTTTTAATTATTATTATAATTTTTATTTTATATTAAAAAATTTATTATTATTATTATTTTTTTAGTAGTATATTATTAAAATTTTCTTTCGGGGAAAGGGCCCCTATTTGTTCACCTTTTTATTCTATTTCTTCAAGAAAAAAAATTAGAACACAAACTATAAAACGGGGGGTTATGTCTCCCCCTTCCACCCCTCGGAAGTTTAGTTTAACCCCCTTTTAAAGGGAATATTCCCCTTTATGTATTTTGGGTAATTTCATTTTGTTTTAAACGGATGCTGTATGTGTCTAATGTATAACAGGGTTGTAGGTATCCCTTGCGATTCTTTTTTTTATAAATGTCAAAATTTATGTATTGTAAATTTGGGGTTTTTAATTTTGCTGGGAATATAAAATTCCCCCGATTTTAATCCACGAAATGCACTTAATTTAACAGGGTGCAAAATTAAATAGCCTAAATTTTTTTGGGAAAACATACTGAAAGGCGAAGGGCACTTTCCCACTCACCCATGTGCTCATCCCAAACCCTAAAGCGAAATTGGACAATGCCCGTCATCGTATTTAATCCCCAATCATCGTTTGGGGACATGCCAATCATCGATGTCAAAATCCCCACTCAAATCGAAGGGCCCAACATGAAAAACCATCGCAAGTAATGCCATAAAAATTCGTAAATGTCCAATCCCCACTAAATCTATGTGCACATGGCAGTCATCGAAAGGCCCACATCCCAAATTTAAATCTTTTTTCACATCCCAAATCTTTCTTTATTTTCCAAAACCAAATAAATCGGTTTGGCAAAATTTTCCGTCATCGCATGTCACATCCCAATAAATGAAATTCCAAAGCCACTCATCTTTGGGTCCCACATGTCATCATCGCGGCGCAAAATGCCAATCATCGTATGTGCCCCTTCCAAAACACCCGTTTTTTGTCACATCCCATCATCGCATTCACATGCAGTCACGCATGTGAAACCACCCAATCATCGAAATGTCACACCCAAAAATTCTTTTCGAAAGTCCCAAAATCCCAATCATCGGTTTCCCCACCCCAATCATCGTATTCACATGCCACCCCTCGCTTGTGCACATGCCCAATCCTTCATCGCACATCCCAATAAATTTTAATGTGCAAAAACCCCCCAACCCTTTTATTTGCACATCCCATTTCATCGCCATGGTCCCAAAATGCATATCCATGGCCTTCCAATCCATCTTTTTAAGGGGCACATCCCCCAATCATCGTTTTTTCACATCCCAAATTTAAATCGTATGTGCACATGCCACTCATCGTTGTCACAGCCAATCATCGTTTGAAACATCCCAATCATCGTGGGGCCAAAAGCCAATCATCGAAATACCCATCCAATCATCTTTTTGGGCCAGCCAATCACGTAGGGCCCACATGCCAATCATCTTTATTACATGCCAGTAAACGAAAGGGGCCATTCAATCTCGTAGGGGCACATGCCATCATCGAAAGGGCCCACTTGCAACTTTCGTATGTCACATGCCAATCTCGATGTGCACATCCCACTCATCGTTTTGGGAAAACAGGGTAAATCCTGATGTGCACATCCACCTTCGCATGTCCCACATCCCCAATCATCGTATGTGCACATGTAAAATTACTTATTCACATGCACCATCGAAATGTGCCATCCCAAATCATCGCTTTTGACCTTCTTCATCGCATGTCACATCCCAAAGCCATCTTTAACCAGAAAAATCCCAAAGCCATGTATTTTGAAATGCCAATCAGGGGATGTGCAAAATCCCAAAATTCATGTATGTCACATCCAAAATCACGTATTGACATTCAATCATCGAAATTTCACATCCCCAATCATCGAGGGCACATTCAATCATCTTTTGTGCAATCCCAAATCATCGATGGGGACATGCCACTAAACGTATGTAATTCCCCAATCACTTTATTTTCACATGCCTTTCATCGTAATGTTACATGCCAATCATCAATGTGCACTTTCAACCCGATGTGCACTCCCAAAAAATCATATTTTCACAAAACCAATCTTCTTTGTGCACACCCAAATCACGCCAAAGGCCACTGGGCCCAAGGGATTGGAAAAATTTCAAAATTCCGGAAAAAAATTCATTTCCCCAGATTTCCCAAATTATTAAAAATTTCGGGGGGAAGCAAAAAAATAAATAGAGGGGGAAAAAACTAAAACCCCACAAAAATAATCTTATTGAAATGGCACATGGGCAACCACAGCGTTAACAAAAATGTAGTTTTTTTTTAAAATTCCATTCATAGACAAGGGGCCCCTTTGAGTTATAAAAAAAAATATCGAAATGGATAAAGGGTATTGCTTAAAAATTTGCTTGATGAGATTTTATTTTAATTTTAGTTTGGTTGTCCAATTTGTTAGTGACCCAGACGAGTCAATATGCTCCTTCATAGGTGGTAATAATAACATTATTTTAAGGACGAAAAAAGAAAATTGAGGTAAACATAATATAGCTCATGAAAATAGGATAATATGAGCCACGAAATTTGATTTTAATCTCCCCTGGAAACCACTGATCGTCTCCCTTTGACTAGATTTTTTTTCTCTCTCTCTCTTTCCTTTCCGCCCCCAGCTTGTACACTCTCCATTTTACCTGGATTTTGTAGCTCATTTGGATTCTGTGTTATATTTCTTGAAACTGTCAGAAACTCTATCCTCCATTCTTATCCTCCACCTGTTTATACTTCTGAATATTTTGTATGTGTGTGATATACTTGCTCAGTCTGTCCGTTCTTCCTTGTGACCAAGGAAATGAAATGGAAATAAGTCACTCTGACTTTTTTGGGTTATCCCAGGTTCTCTACACATATGCTGCTATGTATGATAATCTACGTAACTGTATTTGTGTATACCTGAATAAACTTACTTACTCACTTACTTACTTACCATAGCTGGTTAGGACAGTCTCAGCTTCCTTGGCAGAGTTCATTGGTTCATTCCTTGAGCATTAATTTCTGTAGGCTAAACTGCCGGTTAATTAACTTTGGCACCAGTCTGATGGGTAAATTTTAACCATCTCCCAGTATATTTATATGACTAGCGAAGCATAGGCTCCATGTTTGTGCTGCTTACATGGTGTCCCGTGGCCTGGTGGCTGTGGCTCTCGCTTCACACGGCGATGTGTCCGGGTTCGATTCAAGGCTAGGGTGGAAACAATTGGTGTGTCTCCTTATACCAGTTGTCTATGTTCCCCATTAGTAAAATGGGTACCTGGGTGTTAGTCGACTGGTGTGGGTCGCATCCTGGGACAAAACTGATCTAATTTGCCCGAAATGCTCTGCATAACAAGCGGTTTTCTATATAGTAGTATATTATTGATGTTAGCTAGGACTGTATACCTTGTACATGTACTTGTAGAAATAAAGATATTATTAGAATAGGCGAACAGGATCTTCAGTGGTTCCTTCTCTCTTATTTTTTTTTTTTTACACAGGGTTTGACAAGCTTAAGGATCCCTAGCTTTATTGACAAGCTATTTACAGGTTAAGGATTCCTAACTTTATTGGCAAGCTAAGAGATGTTACCTACATCAGCTCATTTGAAAGCATTTTTATTGTTATGAGACATACAAGTAGGGAACAGGATGAAGTTGGAGCCATCTGTGGGCCAGAATTTTCATTTGATCAACTGACTTTATCTCGTTGACATCATTATGCTGTACGAATGTGTTCCATACTCGAGTCATCCTGGGTATGTATGATCTCAGATGGAGTGATGTTCTGGAGAAGGGTACAGCCAGAGTGAAGTTGCTGCTTTCTTCCCGTCTTGTGGCATAAAAGCTTGTTCCATGCTGTCCTCGAAGTGGATCCAAGTGTGGTATTTTGACAATATTGGCCTTGTACATAACAGTAAGGCCACCCACATCCCTCCTATGTTGAAGGGTCTGGTGAAATGACAGATCTATCCAAGATGGGTCCAGGCGAGAGATGAGACGTCTTGCTCTGTTCTCTACTCTGTCAAGCAGTCGCAGATGAGAGGGGGTCAGGCAAACCAAGAAAGTGGAGCATACTCAAGGTGTGAGCGTACTTGTGCCTCGTACAGGATCTTGCAACCCCTACTGTCAAGCAGATGCGAGATACGGCGAAGTGCTATAAGCTTCCTGGCTGCCTTGTTTGCAAGATTTACAACATGGTTCTTCATGGTTAGTTTGGAGTCAAATTTCACCCCAAGGATATCAACTTCTCCAGGTGCCAACACCCTCCCATTCATCCTTACTACTGCACCAGCATTACCATCATTGTGCCTCTCTCTCTCTCTCTCTCTCTCTCTCTCTCTCTCTCTCTCTCTCTCTCTCTCTCTCTCTCTCTCTCTCTCTCTCTCTCTCTCTCTCTCTCTCTCTTTCTCTCTCTCTCAGAATAAAGATCAAAATACTAAGTCCCTGTCTTCCCCTGCAGTCAGACGTGTGTCATGCCTACCAGATCCTGCACCAGCACGGTGTTCCTGACGACCACATCATCGTTATGATGTACGACGACATCGCCAACAACAAGCAGTGAGTGCCAGATGATGTTAATGTGTTGATGCCATTAGTTACTGTGCTAGTGCCAGAGCTTAGTGCATTAATGCCAATTGGTAAATAACCAGCATCAGTCATTGGCCAGTCAACACAAGTCTGAATAAGTCCCTCCGAGATCATCTTAAATGGCTAAAGAAAGAAAACAATTCTTACAGCAATGACAAAGTTGTCTGAAGTTCGCGAGCATCTAAATAGCTTATGTTCTTTATGTAACTTAAGAAAAATAAGCACAGAAACAGTAGAATGTGATCCTTTATTGACAGCGTTTCTCCCAGTGGGTTTTATCAAGTCACAAACAGATCTGTTTGTAACTTTATAAAACCCACTGTGTGGGCGAAACGTTGTCAATAAAGGATCACATCACACTGCTTCTGTGTTTATTTTTCCGCTGTGTCGGTATTTTATACCATTTATTTCCATCGTAACTATAGAAGTTGGAAACTGCAATGCAAACCCGGTATTAGATACTGTTGTCATAGCAGAGATGTAAGCTTCCTTTCTTTTTTTTTCTTTTTTTGGGGGGGGACTTGGTAGCACAATTAAGCCACATTTTTGGACTAGTGAAAGGAAAAACGATAGTGATTGCAAAATTCACTTTTAATGATCTTTCATTTCCCAGAAACCCGACCCCTGGTGTGATCATCAACCGTCCAGAAGGACCCAACGTCTACGACGGCGTCCCCAAGGACTACACTGGCAGGGACGTCACTCCAGAGAACTTCCTGAAGGTACTTAGCGGTGACGCTAAGGGCTTGAGGGGTGTGGGCTCTGGTAAAGTGCTGAAGAGTGGTCCTAACGACCGTGTCTTCATCAACATGGTGAACCACGGCGCCCCTGGCATCTTCTCCTTCCCTTACGACTACCTCACTGCCACTAATCTCGTCGACTCTCTCCTGAAAATGTACCAAGACAACAGGTTCAACAAGGTAAATCTGCTATCCACTGCGCTGAGAAAATACAGCACTGGCAACATGCAAACCCAAACCCCACGCACTATCGCACTAATACCTCTAATATGAAGATTTCAGACCTGATAGAAACTGCACTTTGGGACTATTAACAGCTTATATCGTTAAGTTTTTACAGAGACCTCCACTCGTCACCCCAAAACGAACCAGAGTATAGGTTTCCTACCCTCCCCCCTCCCCCTCCCGACCTTCTTTTAACGATTAAAGAAATCTGTCGTGAACAATCATAAGTTCTTGAGGAATAGATTTTCCTCTCCGGAATCTTAGAAGAAAAAGAAACAGAATTATCAAAGTCGTGGTAAACAACTTCATTTATTTTTCAAACATTCAAGTCTCCCACCGTCAGCGCAAAAATATAAAGAACGGTTACCAGGCAGAATAGCTGGTCTATATAAAAAAAATTATCTAGAGTCATAAAACTTCAAATATAACTAAGTTACACAAATTAACCTAATAATGTTACAATATCTAAAATTTATACTAACGCAAAGTTACATAGTCACCTATGAAATAGAGCACCGAGTAACTGTACATTAATTTTAAGTTGTTCATTACAAATGCCGTTGATGGCATTTGCTTTAGTTTACCCTTGTGATGGATGCCTTTTTTCCTGTATTGAAAAACTCGTGATTGTTGCTTACATTACTGACCAGTTGCATCAATCCACAATATTTTTCATTTACAAAACTAGAGATGTAATGGAGCTTTGAAAAGTTAAGCGCAATAAAGAATGAGGAGAGATCTACTTCCTCAGAGACAATTTTAACAGGGTGACGTAGTTTATATTCTTGTACACATACATTTATATGCAAAAGAACCACGGGGTAGAAGAATGATAGCCTTTCGTGTTGCAATCTACACATCATCAGGAGCTTGCAAAATTGCAGGAAAGAGGAGATTGTCCACGTAAATACGTTCCCAGTGGACAGCCTTCACTGGAGTGAAGTCGGTCCTCTGGGAACGTGTTTGCGTGACAATCTCCTCTTTTCTGCAGTTTTGCAAGCTCCTGGTGATGTGTTGATTGCAACACGAAAGGCCTAGCGCTATCATTCTACTCCCCCCGTGGTTGTTTTGCATCCTGTATCGCTTGGTTAGATATATTTGCTTAATATATTTATATGTAGGCAAGGTCTTTCCCAAGCCTGTCTCATGACACCTGGTCCCTTCCAGCTACCACACACCCCACATGTTACCTTCCTCTCTGCCACCTCTTCTAGCTAGGGATCTTCCAATGTTTTTATCTTGAACGTACTCTGTTTCTGTGTAACGTCTTGTAACAATGAAAGCCATCTTTAGAGAACACCGTTCATCATACGTTTGAGGGAGTCTTTCGGCTGGCAACCGTGTTCCATACATTGTCTTTTGAACACGAGTGAATTGTGATGCTCTCTTCGAGGAGCGGAATCATAAGGCTGACTAGATATTCCGGTTATTTATGTTCACAGATGGTCGTGTATGTGGAGTCGTGTAATTCTGGCTCACTATTTGAGAATCTCCTTCCTGAAGATATAGAAGGTGAGTTCTGCTGTTGATACTTCTCCTTCTCTCTCTCTCTCTCTCTCTCTCTCTCTCTCTCTCTCTCTCTCTCTCTCTCTCTCTCTCTCTCTCTCTCTCTCTCTCTCTCTCTCTCTTTTACACAGGGTTTGACGAGGTTAAGGATCCCTAACTTTATTGACAAGCTATTTACAGGTTAAGATTCCTAACTTCATTGGCAAGCTAAGAGCTGTTACCTACATCAGCTCATTTGAAAGCATTTTTATTGTTATGAGACATACAAGTAGGGAACAGGATGAAGTTGGAGCCATCTGTGGGCCAGCATTTTCATTTGATCAGCTGACTTTATCTCGTTGACATCATTATGCTGAATGAATGTGTTCCATACTCGAGTCATCCTGGGTATACATGATCTCAGATGGAGTGATGTTATGGAGAAGGGTAGAGCCAGAGTGAAGTTGCTGCTTTCTGCCCGTCTTGTGACATTAAAGCTTGTTTCACGCAGTTCTCGAAGTGGATCCAAGTGTGGTACTTTGACAATATTGGCCTTGTACATAACAGTAAGGCCACCCACATCCCTCCTGTGTTGAAGGCTCTGCTGAAATAACAGATCTATCCAGGATGGGTCCAGGCGAGAGATGAGACGTCTTGCTCTGTTCTCTACTCTGTCAAGCAGTCGCAAATGAGAGGGGGGCAGGCAAACCAAGAAAGTGGAGCATACTCAAGGTGTGAGCTTACTTGTGCCTCGTACAGAATCTTGCAACCCCTACTGTCAAGCAAATGCGAGATACGGCGAAGTGCTATAAGCTTCCTGGCTGCCTTGTTTGCAAGATTTACAACATGGTTCTTCATGGTCAGTTTGGAGTCAAATTTCACCTGAAGGATATCAACTTCTTCCCCAGGTGCCAACACCCTCCCATTCATCCTTAATACTGCACCAGCATTACCATCATGGTGCCTAGAGACCATCATCATTTCCGTTTTCTCAGGTACAAATGTTATTTTCCATCTATTTCCCCAAGGTGATATAGCTCTTAGCTGGTGATTGATGTAGCTTAGAGCAGCTGGCATTTCTTCTCTTCGATAAATGAATGTCAGTGTACAGTCGTCTGCATATGCATGGGATTCTGGGAAGAGATGAAGAAGGTCGTTGAAGTAGACATTCCATAACAATGGTCCCAGCACGCTTCCTTGTGGAACACCTGCCCCAATAGGATGTCTTGCTGATTCCGTTCCATTGAGAACTACACTTAGATATCTACCATGAAGGTAATCACTGAGGAGACGTAATTAATTAATGTAGAGCCTGCAATTCCCAGTGCTTGAAGTTTTGCTAAGAGGCCCTGGTGTTACACTCGGTCGAAAGCGCCAGCAATGTCCAGTGCTACCACACAGCTGACTTTGGATTCATCCAGTGACTGGTGCCACTTAGTGGAGAGGTTTAACAACAGATCAGCAGCAGAGTAACCTTTCCTGAAGCCATATTGACGGTCACAAAGTAGTGAGTGGTAGTCATTTGTCTCTCTCTCTCTCTCTCTCTCTCTCTCTCTCTCTCTCTCTCTCTCTCTCTCTCTCTCTCTCTCTCTCTCTCTCTCACTCTCTTATGCCTAAGCACTAAGCACTAACTTCTAAGACAAGACGTTCTAGTAAGAATTGAAAAGCTAAGAGCTGCTAATCATATTTCAGCTCATTTCAAAATTTGCCTCTATAATACTTTTTCTAATGGTTAACAGATGTGTAAGTATGTCTGCCACATTAAGCAACATGCATATAATGTAAAGTGCTTAGTTGTTGCTGACTCTCTGAAGTCCTGTGGTGGATTTAGAAGTCCGGGGGCTCTCAGTGGAAAAATATTTTTTTTTTTATATTTTATTTAAAACAGTGCGATACAAATGACAGAAATATATTAAAAGATACACGACAAAAGATTACTGCACTAGAATTGCACTTAACCCGAGACTTAATAACGACACCATACAGTACAGTGGTAATACACACTCACACACACCACACCGTATGTTACATTGGTATTACACTCACACACAACACACCGTATATTACAGTGGTAATACACTCTCACACACAACACACCGTATATTACAGTGGTAATACATTCTCACACACAACACACCGTATATTACAGTGGTAATACACTCTCACACACAACACACCGTATATTACAGAGGTAATACACTCTCACACACAACACACCGTATATTACAGTGGTAATACACTCACACACACAAACACACCGTATATTACAGTGGTAATACACTCTCACACACAACACACACCGTATATTACAGTGGTAATACACTCTCACACACACACACCGTATATTACAGAGGTAATACACTCTCACACACAACACACCGTATATTACAGTGGTAATACACTCTCACACACAACACACCGTATATTACAGTGGTAATACACTCACACACAACACACCGTATATTACAGTGGTAATACACTCTCACACACAACACACCGTATATTACAGTGGTAATACACTCTCACACACAACACACCGTATATTACAGTGGTAATACACTCTCACACACAACACACCGTATATTACAGTGGTAATACACTCTCACACACAACACACCGTATATTACAGTGATAATACACTCTCACACACAACACACCGTATATTACAGTGGTAATACACTCTCACACACAACACACCGTATATTACTGAGGTAATACACTCACACACACAACACACCGTATATTACAGTGGTAATACACTCTCACACACAACACACCGTATATTACAGTGGTAATACACTCTCACACACAACACACCGTATATTACAGTGGTAATACACTCTCACACACAACACACCGTATATTACAGAGGTAATACACTCTCACACACAACACACCGTATATTACAGAGGTAATACACTCTCACACAACAACACACCGTATATTACAGTTGTGTATACACTCTCACACACAACACACCGTATATTACAGTGGTAATACACTCTCACACACAACACACCGTATATTACAGTGGTAATACACTCTCACACACAACACACCGTATATTACAGTGGTAATACACTCTCACACACAACACACCGTATATTACAGTGGTAATACACTCTCACACACAACACACCGTATATTACAGAGGTAATACACTCTCACACACAACACACCGTATATTACAGTGGTAATACACTCTCACACACAACACACCGTATATTACAGTGGTAATACACTCTCACACACAACACACCGTATATTACAGTGGTAAATACACTCTCACACACAACACACAGTATATTACAGTGGTAATACACTCTCACACACAACACACCGTATATTACAGTGGTAATACACTCTCACACACAACACACGTATATTACAGTGGTAATACACTCTCACACACAACACACCGTATATTACAGAGGTAATACACTCTCACACACAACACACCGTATATTACAGAGGTAATACACTCTCACACACAACACACCGTATATTACAGAGGTAATACACTCTCACACACAACACACCGTATATTACAGAGGTAATACACTCTCACACACAACACACCGTATTTACAGGGTAATACACTCTCACACACAACACACCGTATATTACAGTGGTAATACACTCTCACACACAACACACCGTATATTACAGTGGTAATACACTCTCACACACAACACACCGTATATTACAGTGGTAATACACTCTCACACACAACACAACGTATATTACAGTGGTAATACACTCTCACACACAACACACCGTTATTTTTACAGTGGTAATACCACTCTCACACACACCACACCGTATATTTCAGTGGTTTAAAACACTCCACCACAACACACCGTATATTACAGAGGAAATACACTCTCACACAACAAAAACACCGTATATTACAGAGGAATACACTCTCAAAACACAACACACCGTATATTACAGTGGTTTTAAAACACTCCACAAAACAACACACCGTATATTACAGTGGTAATACACTCTCACACACAAACACACCGTATATTTCAGTGGATACATCTCACCACACAAAACACCGTATTTTACGTGGTAAAACACTTCCACACAAAAAACACCGTATTTACAGTGGTAAAACATCTACACACAAACACACCGATATTCGTGGGAATACACTCCCACACAAACAAACCGTTTAAAACGGGTAAAACCTCTCACAAAAAAACACGTATATTTCATGGGAATACACTCTCACACAAAACACCGGATTCAGAGGTATCACTCTCCACACAACACACCGTATATTAAGAGGGAATCACTCCCCCCA